AGAAACCCCAGGAGAAGATGTCGCGATGTGGGGTCTGGGGCTCTGAGCGACTCCTCAGGCGTGATGATTGAGGTTGAGAGGATGATGGCAAGGACCTGAGGGCACGCCCACTCCGTGCCCAGAGGCACGGTGGCGGATCTACATAACCATGATAATCCGATGATCATCGTTCCGACAGATCGCATCGCATTTCCGAGCTCCAATGGGGGAGCCGCCTGGGGGTAATTCAATTTGTTGTTGGTTTGAATCGAGGGGGGTGGCAGTGACTCGGGTTAGCGGTCGGTAGATTGGGCGAGGTGGCACATATCATCCAGGGGCAGCAGCGACGACCCCATCCCCGAAGGGGAAACATGGGGTTGGACAAGGAACCGCGATTGACCATCTCTTGCCCAGAAGACGGGTGGGTTTTTGAGCTAGGGGACCACATGCTAGAAGTTGTCTGAGTAGGTTTCGGCGAGGCCATCATCGGTAATTTGGGCCCTGAGATGCCGCCTGTGAGGCGGTCCGGCCGGTCTCGAGACATCCTTGCAGTTATGGGCTCCGAGTTGCCGCGCGAGAGATAGTCCAGCCCGTTTCGCTTCGGCTTCTTCGCTGCTGTCATGAAGCGGTCCAGCTATTTTGGCTTATAACATCCTCGCAGAACAATCTTCGCCCGGTGCATCCTCGTTATCCTGGATTAGTCTATGCTCTTGCCGCACGGTATCAGATCCGTTTCCTCGTTGCTCTGGGTTCGCAATTGCCGTGGACTGTTCGTTTCGCTTGAGATCTCATTGCCGCTCCAGGTGTATGTACGTCTTATGTCCTCACCTCACGTGGTCCCGATCTTCTTCGTCTGAAACATCGTCGGGATTGTGTTTTCGGGGATGCCCAAACCTGAGGTGGTTCAACCAATTTCGCCCGAGCTCTCCCATTTCTGGGCTCAAAAATGTCCAGTCAATTTGTGTGGGCGGACTTCCTTTGCTTTGCCTTAGATGTTGTGTGGCACTTCGTCGGAGGGTAGACCCGACGTTGCCCCATCAACCAGATCACTGCTGCTACTGCACTTCGCGTTGCCTTTGCGCAAAAAAGAAGTGATATCACATCGCCTTCAAGGCTGGCTGGTTCGAAAGTCATGGGGCCTTGCGTGAAGTTGGCGGGAAGGGTCAGTGATATGCCAGCACCAAGCTTGGTCATGCCTTCCATGGCCTTTCGCCAGCTGCCCCTGAGAGGCTTGGCCAACTTAGGAGCTTCGATTCCTGGCTGATCCGGCTCTTGGGTTCCAGTTTCGGAGAGCTGGCGCAGCGCGCCCCTGAAAAAAGTGCTGACGCTCTGACGCTTTCGACGCTCCTGACGCTCTTGACGCTCTGGCGCTCCTGACGCTCCTGACGCTCCAGGCGTCAGAGCGTCAGGAGCGTCAGGGGCGTCAGGGGCGTCAGGATCGTCAGAGCGTCAAGAGCGTCAGGAGCGTCAAGAGCGTCAGGGGCGTCAGGAGCGTCAGGGAGCGTCAGGGAGCGTCAGGGAGCGTCGGGGGCGCCGGGGGGCGTCAGGAGCGTCAGGAGCATCAGAGCGTCAGGAGCGTCAGGGGCGTCAGGAGCGTCAGGAGCGTCAGGCGCGTCAAGAGCGTCAGGAGCGTCAGGAGCGTCAGGGGCGTCAGGGGCGTCCACCACTCCGGCGCCGCCGCTCGAGACATCCTCACAACTCCGGCGCCGCCGTTCGAGACATCCTCGCAACTCCGTCGCCGCCGCTCGAGACATCCTCACAACTCCGGCGCCGCCGCTCGAAACTTCCTTACAACTTCGGCGCCGCCGCTCGAGACATCCTCACAGCTCCAGCGCCGCCTTTCGAGACATCCTCACAACTCCGGCGCCGCCGCTCGAGACATCATCACAACTCCTGCGCCGCCGCTCGAAACATCCTCACAATTCCGGCGCCGCCGCTCGAGACATCCTCACAATTCTGGCGCCGCCGCTCGAGCGTCAGGAGCGTCAAGGGCGTCAGGAGCGTCAGGGCGTCAGGAGCGTCAGGAGCGTCAGAGCGTCAGGAGCGTCAGGAGAGCCCAGGGCGTCAGGGGCGTCCACGACTCTGGCGCCGCCGTTCGAGACATCCTCGCAACTCTGGCGCCGCCGTTCGAGTCATCCTCAGAACTCCGGCGCCGCTGCTCGAAACATCCTCACAATTCGGTCGCCGCCGCTCGAGACATCCTCACAACTCTGGCGCCACCGCTCGAGTGGGATGGGTGGATGGAGGGAGCTGGATGGCAGGAGTGAGGAGGAGAAGGAGGAGGAGGAGGAGGAGGAGGAGGAGGAGGGGGATGGGGGAGGAGGACGAAGGGTAAGAAGCGGATGGGGACACTTTTAGGCCAAACTCTCGATCGACACATTTGGCAAGTTAATTGTGACGCGGCTTGTACCAGAGCAGACCGTGGGGATGCCCCGTACGACGCGCTCGATTGGCATCCCCGACTCCTCTGCATTCAGAGCACCATTCGGGGGCCCTCGTCGTTACGGCTGGATTCGCTTTTAGCTTACACCACATAGCTTCACCACGGTGTACATAGCTTACACCACGGTGGGCGCGGCCCTTGGCGGCCAATGTCCGGTCCTATTGGCTGACATCGGGTGCTATTTGCTGCTTTCGGCTCCCGGCGGCTACCTCGGCTGCTATACGAGACTGCAGGCTCGCATCAAAACTACCGAGTGTTAAACCCAGGGTGAAGAGGGGGCAGAAATAAGGAGCATCCTCATCGATCCTCCTCTTCTTCCTCCGCTTTTCCTGCTCACGCCATTCCCTATCCCGTTACTCAATCTTCTCATGCTGCTCTACGTGTTCCACCTAGCCCTCCTCGTCCTTTCCCCTGCTGCTTTTCATCGTCGCCCTTTTCGGAGATTCCTCGTGCTGCTCCTCGTCCTCACCTCCTCGGTATGATGCTCCTCGTCCTTCCCTCCTCTTGCTTCTCATGTTGTCTTCCGCATCTCTTCACCCCCTATCGTTTTACTCGTGCTGCTCTTCTCCCTTTGTCTCCTACTTGGCCTCCTCTCCGAAGCGGTGGCTCAAGATGACACGCTCTCGGTGCGAGGGCGCTGCAAATTGTCCGCATTACACCACGTGCCGTGCCGAGGACGGACGCCCCGCGTGTTCAGAGCACGGCGGGGTGTCAAGACGGGGCCGATGGGACCGCCAGGCTGAGGCCCCAACGTCTGCCTCCCGAGCGTCTCCACCAGAACCAACAGGTCCGCCAGCGAACGTGGACGCCACGTCGGATTCGGATTGTTCCGATGTTGACAGCGAGCAAGACCAGGAACACGATGAGGACACCCGGGAGCCTACGTCATGGACGGGCGGCGGCGATCCAGGAGACCGGGCTGAAGGCGGCGCCGACCGAGGGGCAGGCCATCGGTTGGAACATCAAACATGAATAAGCCGCGCAAGTAGGTCGACCGCGCTCGACGGGCCCTGGCCCGACGGAGATTCCGGGCGGAGTTGCCATCGTCGTCCCGCGTCGCGCACTTCCGTGCTCGGCGGCTCTGGGGGAGTCCCTGCTGCAGTTCGGTCACCGTGTGGTCATCCGTCGGACCAGTGCGGTTTTCCCTGGCAGCCTCTTCGCGATATCGATCCACCTGGGCGTGAAGGGAGGCCTGGAGGGGCCAGTGAACAGGAGGCTCTTGCAGGGCCTGGCGGTGTTCCTCCTGGGCCGCGAATCCCATGGGCGATCCTGGGCCATTGGAAGCGCGCGCCAGCTGGGCTGTCGAAATCGGGCCGGCTCAACGCGGTCGCGGGCGCGATCTTCAAATCCAGGTCGGCCGCGCGTTTCACGCGGGGCGCGGGGGGGGGGGGGGGTCAAGAGCGGGTCGCTGTCGAGGGGGGGCTCGATTATTTCGCGGGGGCAGAAGTCTTGAGGCGCCGCATCCGCAAGGTCGCGACCTTGGACCCAGCCCTTTCGTCGCTCCGCGCGCCCGCCCTCGCCGCGCGCGGGGGCCGCTCGGGGGGGGTCTTGCTCGGGGCGCCCGAGATGTTCAAGACGTTCCCATGTGGAGCCTATCATGGGCCCGCGCCCAGCACCGCGCAGCGCCGACTGGAGTCTGGGGCCCGACGAGGTCCCCGATGATATTCCTGGAGCTGTTCGGGAGTGGTTTCGCAATCCGGAGGCGCGGCTAGGGGCGTATCGCGACGTGCCCGATAACCGGCGCGGAGCTTTCATATGTCGTGGGGTGGGCCCTCAGACGTCCGCGGCGCTCTGGGCAGACTCTCTGGGATCGGGGGGCCTGCGGAAGCTTCAGCCCGTCGGTTGCGACTTGGATGGCTTCTCAGGGTGCGGCCGCTCGGGGGCCCGAGCTGTCCGAGGGATCTTCGGCGCGGGAAGGTCGGGGCGCGGCCTGGCGGCGGGCCAGTGCTGCGCTGCGCATGGCGGGGGCCGCGTTCGCAGCGGGCCCCCGCGCCCTGCCGAAGCAGCAGGAAGGCGCGGAGCGCCCGGGCGAGCAGTTGTTGCGTGGCTTGGTCGACCGGATCAGGGGCGGCAGAGCGTGGGCTGGCGACTCTCACTGGTCCGAGCGCGCCGACTTGATTGTTTTTATTGCGCGCGGACGCGCGCGAGCGCGGTCGCAGGTGGAGAGCCCCGGCTCAGGGCCATGGAAGCAGTGTTGAAAAGGGGAAAGGGCAGCTCGCGCCCATGCCAAGGAGAGGCACGCGACCCCCGCCCATCTCCAGATCTCCAGTGCGGGAGTCGGGGACTCCCGCGAGAGTGCGGAGGTCGGACGTAATCTGCAATGGCACAGTTGAGTCGCCTACGCCTCTGGGGTCGGCGGATAACATTGACCCAGTTCCGACGCTGATGGTGGGTGTTCTCACCGTGGACCCAGTGGCTGGATTCCGCACGCACTGGTTGTGTGCGGTGGCGACGCTGCTGGACCCGGTGACCATGTGCTCATGTCCACGGGCAGATGTGGTCGGCGACTTTCGCTAGGGCCGGTCTTTCTGTGGAGGCGCGACAGCGGCATGCAGCAGCGCGCGCGGTGCCCATCGAGGTCCAGAACCGAGCGATTGCTTTCTTCACCTGCTTCCTCGTGCTGTTGCTGGCAAGTCTGATGATCAACAGGACGTTCCAGACCAAGCCGACAAGGTTGCTTCTGTCTCTCCGTGCATATCAAGCCTATGGCCATGTTGTCTGCGCCTATGGTCGTGGAAACGACTTCGCGAAGTTCTCTGCGCAGGCAGGTTGCGGGCTGCTCAGCGATGGGGGTTCATCGTCGAGGGGCTCGTGTGCGAGCATCCGTTGCTTCTTGGTTGGGGCTGTTATTATTTTAGCAATTGGGTGTTGCAGAAGGCCTTCAGCGAGTTCGCCGATTCAATGATCGTGGGCAGAGGTGTTGTGTTCTGGATCCATCTTCTGGCGGACAATGTGTTCAATGTTTGGGCCTTGGTCTTCCTTGTGAAGCAGATGAGCCACTGCGCTTCTTCCTCAGAGGGCACAGTAGGAGCCACTTCGGACATGGTGCCCTCGGGTGCCCAGTACCATGAGGGTGACCTCACGAAGAAGGGCCTCCTGCTATGCCAGGGGGGCGGTCAGAGGGCCTTCCAGGCGGTGCTGATCCTTTTCGGCACCGTTTCGGTCTGGACGCTGTTGAACGAGGACTGATCTGCATGGCCGAGTAAGTCCGAGGAGAGATCAATGCGTCCTCTCCTTCCTCCTCCCCCTCCTCCTCCTCGTCCTCTTTGTCTTTTATCTTCTCCCACGAAGGAGCAGGATCTGCAGAAGTACCAGAATGCCATAAGCGAATGCCCCTGTTTCTTCTCCGCCTCCGCCTCCGCTATGGCAGTGAATGCCTTTGTTTCTTTTCCGCCTCCGCCTCCTCCTCCTCCTTTCCCTTTTCCAGTCTCCCAGCCGTGTGCGCTGTATAACGAGATGAGCCGATACCGTCTCACCAGTTGCCCGCCGAGATGGGCCCGTGCCCCCCCCTTGCCCGCTGTCCTTGTGTATCCCTCCTGCCCGCCCTGTCTCTGGCTCCTTGCTTCCGTCCCTCTCCCGTCCCTCTCTCCGTGTCCCCCCCCTCTCGCCCTCGTGTGTCCTCCCCCTTGTGTGTTGTGTCCTCTCCCTCTCTCCCTGCTTGGCTGCCTCTCTCCGTCTCCCGTCCCTCTGTGCGTCGGCCCGGTCTGTCCTTTCCTGTCGTCGTCCATCCCTCGCCTCCTCCCTTTCTCGCTCCTCGGATCCTCGCTTTCCGGCCTGTCCCCGTTCCGTCCCTGGCCCGCGTTTCTTTGTCGGCCCGCCCTGCGGTCGGAACAAGGGCGCCGCCGGCTGGAATTGCATTCTCCAGCTTGCTAAGCTGTCCATCCAAACACTAGCTGGAGACGACGACTGATGGAGACGCCGATTCGGAAAGACGGGCCATGAGCGATGCGCCCGAGATTCCAGACGAGGATCAGGTCCTATGAGTGCGCAGGCTGGCTCAGGGGCTTCAGCGTGCTGGAATGTTTCTGTCTTGCAGCTGCCCCGGATACTGTAAGACATGGAATGGGGCCGCCTGCGGCAGCGAATGTTGTTAGACCGCGCAATGTAATTCATTAGAAGAGAGCTGTACTGTATAACATATTGATGCTGACCTGGCTAGCTCAGATTTCATAACTAATGGACGGGGGCCACCCTTCGGCACCGACCTCCGTTACTTTTGTTGACTTGAGCATTCCAAGGAAGTCTTCAGCGGCAGCTTGGGCCCTTCGCTCCATTCTCCGTTGAAGCGATGTCTGCGGTGCAGGGTCAACCAGGTCGTGCTGTTCCTCGCGGTACTTACCCTTACCAGTGAGTGAATTCAGTCGTTGTGTCAGCGCATTGGCCAACGCAACACAATTATAATGCGCTTTTGGCCGGCTTGCCGGCCCTCGTGAGCTTGAGCCGCCCCAAGACGCCGCCCATGAGGTCCCATGACGCCCCCAAGAGGCCCCGTGAGGTCGCCACAAGGCCCCCAAGAGGCCACGCGAGGCCTCCAAGAGGCCCACAGGATGCCCGAAGAGGCCCCCAAGCAGCCATCCAGAGGCTTAAGATCAGCCCCCCGGAAGCTCTCGACAGGCCTTTTATCGACATCCCTACGCACATCCATGAGGCTTTTGACCCACAGCCCAAGCACGGTGGCGGGATGGGCCGTACGCTTACGCCACATCCGCCGACCCCTACGTAAACTGTTGCGCCTCCAGGACTGCATTTTACGAGGCTTGTCCGAATCATGACACGGCGCTCGACATCGTTTCTGTTGCTTCGATGCTGTTATCGTACCTCTTGGTGCTCTTTTGTAGCCTTTTGGTGGCATCTTGGCCGGTCTGCAGGCCATATTCGGCCGCCTCAAGGCATCTTGGGCCAAGTTTTGGGGCCTCTTGGGGGCTTCCTGGGGGCTTCTTGGAGGCCTTTGAGGTTCTCTTGGGGGTCCCTCACGGCCTCTTGGGGTGTTATTGGGGTAGGCTGGGGGCGTCTTGAGCTGAAGGTTCGAAAATGTGCCCTCTGGGCTCCCTCTTGAGGCCGTCTGTGGGTCCCCCTCTTGGGCTGTCTTGGGGGCTTCGTGGGCTGTTTTTGGACCCTCTTCGACTCCTCTTGGGGGCCCCATTCGGCCGTCCAGGGGCGATATTGAATGTTTTTTTGCCCGTCTTGGACGTTGTGAAAACCGAAAAGGCGAGTATTCAAAAACTGTTGTTTTTTCCCCAAAGGGAATGGGACGATTTTTGTTTCTTGGGACCCTCTTTGGACGCATCTTGGGGGCCTTTTGGGGCGTGGTCATCGTGGGCGTGAAGGAGCGATACTTCGGCGACTCGTGGTCTCTCGGGCCGTCAGGGGAGCGTTTTGTTGCCTTCTTGGCCCGTTTTGGAGCCCTCCGCTCCCCTATGGCGCGTTCGGTGCGGGGTCGGGCTGGGCCAGGGGGGGGGTCAAATTGCCGGTTTGGGGTCCCTGGGGGGGGGATTATGGGGGGGGATAGTTTCACACGCCTAGAGACCCACAAAGGGTCGGCGGATTTTTTCCCCTTGGGTCTTTTTCGGGCCTCTCTGGAGAAGCTTCGTGGAGACTTCTTGGGACGTCTTCGAGGTCGGTTGGGCCGCCTGGGGGCCACCCTGGGCGTCTGGGAGCGACCCTTGGGCGTCTCGGAACCCTCTTGGAGTGTCTTTGGCCTCCCTTGACGCTTCCTGCCTCCGCTTTCTTACGCCTCTGGAGCCCCTCGGGCGCCCCGGGCGCATCTGTGGTCGACCTTCCGGCCCAGGGGCCCTCACCCAGCGTGCTCCGGAAACGCTCCCTCGGAGCCCGTTCCCGCCCCCTCTCTCGTGCGTGTCACCTCGGAGTCGCGTCCCGTTCCGGTTTCCCGCTTCCTGCCCAACTTATTTAATCGCTTCGCTCATTCCGCCGGCCCTGGAGCGCTATTTGGGGCCTCTTGGGGCCGTCATGGGGGCTTCTTGGGGGCTTCTTGGGAGCGTCTTGGGTTGGGGCTCCTTGGCGGCGTATTGGGCCCCCCTGGGGCCTCTTGGGGGGCTCTTGGGGGCCCCTTGGGGCGGGAGGGGGGTAGTCGATTGCAGCCCCCCCCTCGGAGGCCACGATCCTCGTGAGGGGTGGCGAAAAATAGCCTCCCCCCTGGGGATCGCCCGGGACCCGGCCGGGGATCGGCCCCCCCGAGGGGCCGCCTCGCGCGCGCGAACTAGAAATATTGTTAAGTAGTTACCAGAGATCTTAGCACGCCTCTGGCCCGTTGGGCGGGCGAATTTCCTCAGCATCCCCAGCGCCACCATTCAGACGGCACCGCTTCCCCCCCCCCCCCCCCCCCAGACTGCCCCAAGACGGCCCAAGAGGCCCCCAAGAGAGCCCCAAGACCGACCAAAAGGGCCACAGAACGGCCCAAGATGCGTCCAAGACGGCCCAGAGAGCCCCAAGACGGCCCCAAGAGGGGCCCAAGAGAGGAACACGAACCTACAAGTCGAGCGTTCCGCCCCAAGACGCCGCCCAGGAGGTCCCATGACGCCGCCCAGGTGGTCCCATGACGCCCCCGAGAGGCCCCACGAGGCCCCCACAAGGCCCCCAAGAGGCTTCACGAGGCCCCCAAGCCCCCAAACGGCCATCAAGAGGCTTCAGAACCGACGCTGTGAAAAAATAAGCAGTCAGCTTTAGATCATTTTCGGCCTCGTGGGCCCTCCACGGGAACCAGTATTGCAAACATCGTTCCAGGACGCAAGTCCGGCCTTCTGGAAGTTGTCAGAGCCTTCGGGAACTCCCTGGGACCGCGCCTTCTTCGGCCGTCCAGAGCGTCTCTGGGAAGTCATGTTGGTCTTGTACGAACCTTCTTGGGCACCTTTTGAGACGCCTTCCCAAATTCGTGGCGCCTCGTTGGGCCTAATTATGTTGGGACGTCTTCGATCAACCAGAGGGCAGCACGAACGCTGAAGACGAGAGCTCTGGAAGGCCTGCTCGAGTCCTTCTGCGACCTTCTCGGACGCGTTCCAGCGACGTTTGAAGCGACTTGTCCTCGACCACATATGCATATAGACGTACGGAGACCTATATAACTATAGACACGCAGTCACCTACACACGTGTGTGCATGATCACGTGCGCGCGCAGTTATGCACACACCATTGAGGCCCCGCCTGCTGGAAAGGCTATCCTGAGCCTTCACATGCTTCTTGGGAGCGTGGACCGGCAGATGTACACCCACGGGCCTCCTCCTCCTCCTCCTCCTCCTCCTCCTCCTCCTCCTCCTCCTCCTCCTCCATGGGCGGCAGCGCTGCCGGGCCGCGCGCCGCCGAGGGCCGCCGAGGGGTCCAAACGTGGTCCGGACGTGGCCTCCGAGGGCCCCCGAAGCCCGAGCCGCCGCCGGGGGCCGCCCCGAAGAGGAGGGCCCGAGCGCTGGCCCCCCGGGGCGGCCGCCGCGGGCCGCCGCCGGAGGACTGCGAGCAGGAGGCGAGGGCCGGCGGAGGCCAGAGACCTGCAGAGCTACTCCCGCCTCTCCTGCCGGTCCCCCCGACCTGTCCGCTCCCCGGCCCCGCGAGGAGGGGGCCCGAGCTTCTCGGGCCGAGGCCTTCCCGCTCCGCGCCCCTCGGGGCGCACCGCCACGCACACTGTATGCCGCTCGGGGCAGCGGCGGAGGCCCCGGCCGTGCCCCCCCCCCGGGGGGAGAGCTGTCAGCAGGAAGGCTTTCGGCCGCGCTCGGCCTGCGGGGGCCGCTGCCCCCTCCTGCTCCTGCGGCCCAGGGCTGTCGAGCAGAGGCGTGCTCGGGTGGGAGAGTCGGTCGCCGAGAAGGGGTCGAGGCCTCCAGGGGTCCACGCCGCGAGAAAGTCGCGACCTTCGGGGTCTGGGGAGACGTCGGCTGTGCGCCGGCATCTTCGAGACGCCCAGCGCACAGCCGAGGCGCGCCGCTTCCAGCCAAGTCTGGAGGACAGAAGTGGCAAGGAGCTTCGCGTTCCCCTCTCCAGACATCCGGCTGTTCGGTTTTTTTCGATGCGTGAGCCTCTTGACCTCTTCGACCCCTCTACAGGGCCAACTTTGCATCCCGAGTGGTCTTTTGATGGCCAGGGGCCCAGAGGCAGCTGCAGCTTCCGGAGGCCAAGCGTGGCTACAAACTGGCCGCCCCGGCTTTCCCAGGGCGTTGGACGTATGGGTTTCTCCCCTTCCGTTGTGGAGGACGATCAATGGAGAGGAAGCATGCTGCCAAATAATTTCCAGATGTCTAAAACATGTTTGAAACATGTTTAATTATTAATTAAAAAACAGGTTTGAAACATTTGTAGAACATGTTTTTACACATTTCAAACACATGTTTCATTCAATGATCGGATTGTTGGAGTGTCCATCGTCGTGGCATCCACGACCCTTCCGTCGACGGTTCGTTCCCGCGCGCACGTGGTTCGGGATGGGAGCACGCGTATCAACGACACGCCGCCGATGGGAGCCCGTCAGCGTGCTGTTGCCTCCTCCGTCTCTGTCCGGATGCCTGGGTTACTCGTCGTCAGTAGCACGCTGTTGGGTTCCCCCGCGGCGGCGTGTCGTTGGTGCTGCTTGTGCCAGTGGTGGTTGCCCGAGGATCTGCACGGCATGTTCGGCCACGAGAAGCCGGCACACCTGCTGCCGAGGGGTGCGAAGGGGTGGCACCCGAAGGCCTCGGAGGCGGAGGCGCCCAGTAGCGCCTCGGCAGCCACTGTCGAGCATGCGCGCGCTGAGACTCAGAGGTCGCTGCCAACCTGGAGGAGTAGAAGGACTGTATGGAGGAAGAGGTGGTGGCGGAGGAGGAGGAAGAATGGGATGTGTAGTAGTAGTGGTGGTGG